AAAGGCATACATTTGAACAAAGCTTTGTCAGTTGATCCCCCCTCTGATGCATGCTGGACCTGATCTGTTTTTCAACATTTTCTGTATTTTTGTTTTTGTTTGTTCATATTAGGGTGTATCTCAGAGGTGTTCCATCATTGGAGGTCACCCTCTTGATGTTGTGTTACATGTTTTTTCTGTTTTTCAGTATATGAAACCCAGGATTGTGAACCTATATGGACAGCAAGTAGAATAAGGGTTGGAGGGGGGGGGATACACTTGGGGGAGGGGGTTTAAAAAGGGAGACGATGTCAAGGAATCTAGGAAGAAAAAGAATGTTTGGAAACTGGTTGTGGTAGCAATGGTACAATTCTGCTTGACGTGATTGGACCATGGACTGATATATGTATTCACTCAATAATAAATGTTTAAAAAAAGAAAGCATCCTTGGGCTGGTGTGACATTGGCTTCCCGGTCCCCTTGTGCAACTAGAAGCGGTCAGACATGCAACTTGAGGGTAAGTGATAGGTTTCTTTTCCTCTCTAGTTTGAACATGCCCCTTAGAGGTCATCATTTTTGAAGTCTTGGGAAAGTAGTTTGTAAAATTAAAAACCGCAAGTATCAAGTATTATGACCAAAGGCATGAGCTTCAGGTGTAGTCCAGGCTGGCTTTCTGGGAACTCAGCAGTATTGTCTCTGTTGCTGGGCACACTCTGAAGACATCTGCTGGTGTCACCTGGACTCCTGGAGACCGCAAGGTATATGCACACTGCCATTTTTTCTGCCCGAATAGGCCTAGGTGGAGACTGGTAGTCTTAGATCACCCTGGAATTCAGCAGAATCCCCAGGACTTTCCGTTTTAAAAATTCAAGGTTAGCTGCTGCTTTTAAAAGTTAGCTCTCAATGATGAGCCTGAGTCAACCTGTGTGCTCAGACCAGCTCCTACAGCTTGCTAACAGCGAGCGTTTCCCAGAGCGATGTGCTTCTCCAAGGGCGTTTAGTCACACACATTCAAAATCATGCAGTGACCAGGTGGGTCATGGAGAGACTTCTTTTCTCATGGTGTTAAGTTATCCCAAAATGATATATTTAAAAGACTGATTTTAGATAAGGCTTGTAGCCAATTGCTAATCCTTAATGTGCTTT